GCTCCGGCGCTCGTGGCAGTCGCTGTTCCGGGGGCGGCTGCTGCTGCTGACCAACACCCTGAGCTGCGGGGGGCTCCTGGCAGCTGGCGATGCCCTGCAGCAGGAATGGCACCGGCGACAGCACCCCGAGAGCCAGCGCCAGCTGGGACGCACCGGTGGGCACGGGGACACGGGGCAGGGAGGGGCTCCTTAAAACCCACGGATATAGGGCAGGGATGAGTGGGCACTGGGACATAGGGCAGGGAGGGCACTGCAGGCTCCTTAAACCCCATGGATATAGGGCAGGGAACCCACAAATATAGGGCAGGGATGAGTTCCTTAAAACCCGCGGATATAGGGCAGGGAACCCACAGATATAGGGCCAGGATGGGCTCCTTAAAACCCGCGGATATAGGGCAGGGATGAGTGGACACTGGGACATGGGGCAGGGAGGGCACGGCACTACGGACTCCTTAAAACCCACAGAGATATAGGGCAGGGTTGAGCTCCTTAAACCCACGGATATAGGGCAGGGATGGGTAGGCACTGGGATATAGGGCAGGGATGAGCTCTTTAAAACCCACAGATATAGGGCAGGGAGGGCACCACAGGCTCCTTAAAACCCACGGATATAGGGCAGGGAACCCATGGATATAGGGCAGGGAGGGCACTGTGGGCTTCTTAAAACCCATGGATATAGGGCAGGGATGGGCTCCTTAAAACCTGCAGATATAGGGCAGGGAACCCACGGATATAGGGCAGGGATGAGCTCCTTAAAACCCATGGATATAGGGCAGGGAACCCGCGGATATAGGGCCAGGATGGGCTCCTTAAAACCCGCGGATATAGGGCAGGGATGGCACCACAGGTTCCTTAAAACCCATGGATATAGGGCAGGGAGGGCACTGCGGGGTCCTTAAAACCCATGGATATAGGGCAGGGAATCCACGGATATAGGGCAGGGAGGGCACCAAGGGCTCCTTAAAACCCACAGAGATATAGGGCAGGGAACCCATGGATATAGGGCAGGGAACCCATGGATATAGGGCAGGGATAGGCTCCTTAAAACCACGGATATAGGGCAGGGAACCCGCGGATATAGGGCCAGGATGGGCTCCTTAAAACCCGCGGATATAGGGCAGGAAGGGCACTGTGGGCTCCTTAAAACCCATGGATATAGGGCAGGGATGGGTGGGCACGGGGATGTGCAGGGAGGGCACTGTGGGCTCCTTAAAACCCGGGGATATAGGGCAGGGAACCCATGGATATAGGGCAGAGATGAGCTCTTTAAAACCCACAGATGCAGGGCAGGGAGGGCAC